TGGAACCCAAAGGTGTACCATTGTCAACACGCTGTCTACAAATACAAGTTAAGTGTCTATCCGAAACCCGTTTATCATTCATTTATGGCCATTAATGTCAGGATATAGGGTTAGCCGGTTAGAACGCGAAATCGCCTCATACTAAAGGTAATTAAGCCAGGTCTTCATGTTCCATGTACTGTTTTCTCTGATATACTTGTCATATATAGGTATCTGGCTTCACAGCTAGCGCACTTTTGACAGGTCAAGACGAGGATGCAAGATTTTGTGCACCAGTTACTGGGTGATGGAAGCTGCCTCAAAGAGGATAATATGGTGTCTACACCCTAGTTATACCTGGTGGACTAACCTGCTGTACTATAAGATAAGGAACCTTTTCAATGTATGTAGTTAATACTGTAGTTTGATTGGCTGCATATATATATAAACTAATAAACCCCCCCTAATGTGTAGAGGATCGATTTGTGAGATTAAGAGATTATTGCAGAAATACAGTCCACTTATCATTATACAAATTGCTATCGAAGTATATAAATTAACGTAAATATAAATTCATATAAATTAAATAAATATAAATCTCACAGGTCGGTTCCCATAACTGGACTCCGTTGTCAGTTAATCCAGTCAATCAAAGGTAACAAATAGTTATCAAACTTTTGTCTTCTCGCCTCCTACTCCACCGTTTTTCTCTTATTTTATCCCCTCCTCCACCTCTGTACATGCAATTATTACCTCCATATTATAAATTTTGGTTTACCCTTTTAAAAAAAACTAAAAATAGGTGTTTGAGGTGGCGAAGAGGGTCTGGGGGGCGTCATCAACGCCTCGCCTGACGTCACTAGATCCTTGGGCCAAATTTTGTGGCGGGTGTGGAGGTCCATCAGTGGGTAATCGGCAGCGGGAGGAGATGCTTACAGTATTTACTGGCCAAGATACCCGTGGTGCAGCAGAGAGATGGCGAGATGGATTGATCAAAGGTAAAATATCGCTCCGGATTTTTGGGATCCGTGAACACCCCTTTCTGAACGGCGTAGAGCAAAACTAAGGCGCTCTTCACTTGTTTACTGCGCAGTGATTCACATGTTCTCTCTCTATCTCTCTCACACACACATACACCTCTCAGGTTGATTGTTCAATAAATCCCTGAACTATATGTTTAACTGATCTCTAACCCTGTCTATGGAGGACAGAAGAAAATGTATATATGCTGGTTAGCATTGTAAATGTGTGGCCACGTTTGTGGTAGAAAAAAAAAATAACCAATAACCGAAGTGTTTTGGCATACTTACCATTAAACTTGACGTTCTACCAACCATACCTTCCCCCCCCCCTCATTAACCAATAGACGAGTGTGCTACCATATCTTACTCCATTAACCAGTATATCTTGAGATGATTTCGGGCTTTAATGTCCCCGCGGCCCGGTCCTCGACCAGGCCTCCACCCCCAGGAAGCAGCCCGTGACAGCTGACTAACACCCAGGTACCCATTTTACTGCTAACAGGGGCATAGGGTGAAAGAGACTTTGCCCATTGTTTCTCGCCGGCGCCTGGGATCGAACTCAGGACCACAGGATTACAAGTCAAGCGTGCTGTCCGCTCGGCCGACCGGCTCTACACTATATGTACAACTCTGTTCGACATTATATGTACAACCCTCCTAACACCAACTTTTGAGTATGAAGCATCTCAAAAACTCATAAAATAAAATGATTGGATTAAAGACAGGCGATTATACTTCTCCCAGTGCTGAGTGTGAAGGCTGAGCGAGCTGACACTGCCTACGTTGTGGGGAACACGACTCGCCGGGATATGATAACAATATACAAGATATGTATTGATAACCAGCAAGACCAGAAGGTACAGGCGGATGCTGCAGACACAACTGGATAGCATGTTAACAAAAACTTATTCAGTAGAAGTGTCTCAAATGGAATGAGCTACAATGAGACTAATTTTTTAATTTTAGTTTTGCCCTGGAGGCCTAGTTTATTGTGCAGCAGCATCCTGTGAACGAACATACTTCCACACCTGTATGTACAACATCCCCAGTAGAGAGAAAGTACACTGGATCTTTGAAGCAAAGTCAATAAAGAGCCTTCCCGCCAAACACACATCAAAACTACGACGTTGGTACAACGTTCGACCAAGTTTTAACACCTAACCAGTTATAACAACCAATATAGCAAGTTGTAACAACGTTCTAATACGTCATAAACACGTTAAGCCAAGATGTAACAACTTTATTACAAGTTGCAACAAGCGGAAAATAGTACAGTTTCGGTTTGTGTTTCCAGGGTTTGGATCTTTGAGGCAATATATATGGGCCTGACGGCAGTGAACAGCGCTCGGGGTTCGCCTAAGAGTCCGGGTTCGATCCCCGGCGGAGGCAGAAACAAATGGGCATAGTTTCTGTCACCCTGATGAACCTGTTCACCTAGCTGTACATAGGTACCTACGAGTTAGGCAGCTGCTACGGGCTGCTTCCTGGGGATGTGTATGTGTGTGAAAATTAGGATTAAGGACCTGCCTGAAACGCTATGCATGCTAGTGGCTGTACAAGAATATAAGGATTCTTGTATAAATAAATAGATAAATAAGTAAATAAGCAACTGCCACAGGCTTATACCACAAGAAATAGGAGGGATGAAAGTCATTACATTCACTACTAGAAGATGCAAAGGCGAGGCTAGGGGGGGGGGATGATTCACATAATAAAGGAGTCCGTCGGTGCAACATTACATTGTGTAAGAAGGAGGGACTACGGAGTTATAGCCCTACCCCCTCTAAATACAACTGGGTAATCACCACAAACAACACAGTCTGGTGTATAATAAAGTCCATACAGCAGTTATTAACGTGCCCAGCGGGACGTGCTGGTGAACCAGGGAGGGCGATGGTGGGCAGCCCCGGCCAACTGTAGCAACAAGGTATAGGGTGGGCATGGCAGACGGGTATTAGGCCTGCGTCGGGTAGGTGGTGTTGGGTGGGTGGGGTAGTTGGGTCCGGGCGTATACGAGCGGGGAGGGGTTGGGAAGTGGGACGAGGGGAGGGACCCCGCGCCGAGCGCCAGGCGTCACCAGTGTTGGGCGGCCGAGTGTGAGGTGCGGTGGCGTACAGTCGCCGTTATGGGCGCCACAGTTATATGGCAGAGTGAGTGGACGTTGAGGAGACTGCTGGTGACGCTGCTGCTGCTGCCGCCAGGTGGGTGCCAGCTGCTGCCCCCTCCCTCTACACCCTGCAGGAAGGGGGAGGGGGGGGGGTCCCGTATACCTGCTTGATCAACACAAATAAACTGAGTTGGCAACTCTCGATGGGCGTTTAGGACACGCCCACTAAATCTTGGGATGAAGTCGTGCTTCAAGCTCAAGAGAGTGATCCAATGTGGCTGATAACTGACTCCCGGTGTGACCATTGTGGTGAGGGAGGTACTCTGGACCCACTCTGGGCTGTGACACGACCCACACACACAAGCATCAACAACCAGGGACCCTACACACAGGTCCCAAGTGGCGCCCACTGGGGACCTCTGTCCTGGTGACCTGCTTGTTGATGCTGACATTCAGTTACAGATATTGATTTACTTCATATATTATACACCCAATATTATGCACGAACATCATACATCACATCGTTTATACACACAACCAGGCCATCGTTAAAGCTATACTGACCAGCAACAACGAAGTAACCAACAAATTCAGCAACATTTAGATATTAGACATAACTGAAGTACCTGACATGAAGCATTCTCATCCACTTTTCAAAAGCCAGCGTATGCTTTAGTACATCCTACCATGTACAAGATCAAGAGAGAGAACTATCAGTTTAGGCTACAGCTACAGTCTCGCCCGAACACTGAGAATGCTGGCAGAGATTATTCAGTTCCTTCAACAGGATAACCACTTTACCTCACACCTACATGGAACATATACTGCTGTCTGCCCGTTTTTTCTTATTTATTTATTTATTTATTTATTTATTTATTTATTTATTTATTTATTTATTTATTTATTTATTTATTTATTTATTTATTTGTTTATTTATTTATTTATTTATATACAAGAAGGTACATTGGGTTTGTGAGAATACATAGCCTAGTATTTACAATCTTGTAAAGCCACTAGTACGCGCAGCGTTTCGGGTTTCTGTATGACAAGGGGTACTGTTGTAACCCTTGTTAAATTATTAACTTTCCCAAGTAAAGAATTACAAAAATTCGTGTGAGTACTAGATGTTCACGGTTGGTGATGTGTATGCGTATGCGTATGTATGAATGGCCTGAAGATTCTACCAAAACGTAGAGTCCTTTTGTGTGAGAAACCTTTTATTTCCCATCTTCAACACGTTGCTTAAATGCAGCTATCAGACACAGGGGCCTGTCAAAGACTGAGATTACACATTTCCATAAGTGGCTTTCAATTTGCATACACAACTGGTTACTGAACAACGGTCTGTAGTGTCGTGGTGGCGGAAACTGTTCACTACTACAACTCACCGTACGGTGGCTCTCTTCTCTCTGCTTCTCGGTACTTCCAAAGCTTTTGACAAAACTAAACTCGCCCAACTTTTTTAGAGATGTGGTTATATTATGTAGATATGTTGAGATATTATGGACTTACCTCCCAGTACTTACCAGACAGTGTCTACAGGGAAGTGAGGTGTAGCTTCTGGTCTCCCGCCTACCAGCCTTTCTGTAACTGTTGTTATAATTTACCATTCTGACGCTCGAAATCTTTATCGGGTCTACCCATAAAGTTGTGGATGGAGGTGACTTCCACATTTCCTTACATTTCGTTAACTCATTTCCGTTTCCTCTTGTCCTACGTTTTCTCATGAAAAGGCTGTTCTTTTCCACCTTGACTATTCCCATCGGTATCTTGTATAGTGTGATCATATGTTTTTTGTATCCTCTATGGTTGTGAGATTTAGTTCCATTAGCCTATCCTCATTACTTAATCCCACTTAACTCTGGCACCAATCTTGTGGCAAACCTTTGTACTTTTTTATTTTGATTTAATGCTTCACAAAGTGTGGATTCCATGCTGGTGTTACATATTCCAGTATTGGTATACCAAATGGGTTGTTTATTACCATGAAGATGTCCTGATTTAGGTTTCCAAACGATGATCTTATGTTTACCCGCGTCCCATATACTGCTTATATTGCTCTGTTTATGTGTATCTCTGCTGTTAATGTTGGAATTATATTGAGTCTTAAAGTGCCCTCTCCTAACCTACTAGAGGACCCAAAACGGAAAACGGGACAGTATGTAAATTTCGCCACCTGCTACCATTTTCTAGTTCGACGATTTTTTAGTCTTAGGTAGAGTATACGTCACAATGCACAGTTACAGCCACCTCACCTGTGCTAGGTAAGTCCACTACAGGCTCACCATAGACCGTGCTACTTGATACCTGGTTGATGGGGTTCTGGGAGTTCTACTCCCCAAGCCCGGCCCGAGGACAGGCTTGACTTGTGAGATTTTGGTCCACTAGGCTGTTGCTTCGAGCGGCCCACAGGCCCACATACCCACCACAGCCCGGTTGGTCCGGCACTCCTTGGAGGAATTGGAACTTTTGTTCCGAGAAGATGAATCCAAAACAATAACAACTTCAAAATGCGACGTTCTATTAGGAGGACGGGTGGCAAGGGCTACATATGGTGAGCAAGGATCTTGTGCTGGGCAGTGTTAACCAATTGAAATGGTGATGGAGAGGATAGGCGGTCGAACGGTGCCATGACTTCCTACCACCCAGGATATTCCTACGTTTTCTATGGACCTGATATAGCTTTTAAAACCAATATTCATGTGAGGAAATGGAGTAATATGCAAGTAACGTAATTTTATCACTAATTCCTTAAGTACAATCAGTTTCAGTTTCTGCAAGGGAGAATATTTCATTTATCGTGGTTGAGGAGACCTAATAATAAGAAAACTGGTTGGTTTCTTAACAGTCCACTGCATGTAACGTCTGTAATCAAGACTGCTTTTCTTGTTTGATATTATGACCAGCCTCGTTAAATAAATATGAAAACCACCTAACTTATTATATTTAGAAGAGTTAAAGCCTTTTAACCTCAGGGTGTTGAATAAGTACTAATTTACTACATGAATAAGTACATAAAATGAACACGTTAACCACTGAAAATATTCAAACACTCGTCACCTGGGGTCTGTTGCAGTACTCATCACGCCATGAACTCCAGCATTCACTTGGCTAATGAGATATGAGCTAATAGGCAAACCCACACTACCCAAACCTGTTTAGTACAATCTCATTCCCGATAAAGCCCGATTTAATGTCAAGTTCGATTTCAATGGCATATTAATATATTAAAGTTTACGCTGGCAGAGCGGGGGAGCTCTATGACAGAAAACGGAAGAGTCGGCAACTGTTGTAATTGGTGGGTGTTGGGTCGCTTAAAGTATGGCAATGATTGATGCAGGAGATCTGCCATGGTGCGGCCAGGGAGGGTGTGGTGCCATGATGTGGTGTGGCCACGGAGGGTGTGGTGCCATGGTGTGGTGCGGCCACGGAGGGTGTGGTGCCATGGTGTGGTGCGGCCACAGAGGGTGTGCTTACACCTTCCATCCACCCTTACACGGTGGATGGTTATATATATATATATATATATATATATATATATATATATATATATATATATATATATATATATATATATATATATATATATATATATATATATATATATATATATATATATATATATATATATATATATATATATATATATATATATATATATATATATATATATATATATATATATATATATATATATATATATATATATATATATATATATATATATATATATATATATATATATATATATATATATATATATATATATATATATATATATATATATATATATATATATATATATATATATATATATATATATATATATATATATATATATATATATATATATATATATATATATATATATATATATATATATATATATCCAACAAGGTCACATATATAGCTTACCTTCGCTTGAAACAATCTAGTGATCCATGTTTGATCATATTACCAGGTAATTAGTTTCTTAAATCAACGGCCTTGTTTTCAAACCAGTATTTACCCAGGTCATTCGTGAATCTAAATACATGTAATTTATATCCATTGTTTCGTGTTAAAGTTTGTGACGTTATATTTATGCACGAAGTGTGTTAATTGAACTGCCAGTTAGTAATGCATTAGCGCTCGTGACGGGGAAGATATTGTCTCGTGTTTAATACACAGAGGCAAATTTCTTGAACATTTGAGTGTCATATGTGTTTTATTCACTCCAGAATTATGTTATTTAATTTTGTAACATTACAAAACCCTTTTGTTAATAATACGAAACATTTGTGTTAATATTACCGAAAACATTTGATGCATCTTCTTGAGGTTATCTTGAGATGATTTCAGGGCTTTAGTGTCCCCGCGGCCCGGTCCTCGACCAGGTCTCCACCCCCCCCCCAGGAAGCAGCCCGTGACAGCTGACTAACACCCAGGTACCTATTTTACTGCTAGGTAGCAGGGGCATAGGGGTGAAAGAAACTGTGCCTATTGTTTCTCGCCGGCGCCCGGGATCGAACCCAGGATCACAAGTCCAGTGTGCTGTCTGCTCGGCCGACCGGCTCCCTGCATGTGGAAATTTTATGACCACATCAAGTCACAACCCTGGAAACACAAACCGAAACTGTCTCTATTTTCCGCTTGTTACAACTTGTATTGAAGTTGTTACATCTTGGCTTAACGTGTTTATGACGTATTAGAACGTTGTTACAACTTGCTATATTGGTTGTTATAACTGGTTAGGTGTTAAAACTTGGTCGAACGTTGTACCAACGTCGTAATTTCGGTGTGTGTGTTTGGCGGGAAGAGCATCTGTCAGTACATTATTATTGTAAAATGATCATACAAGGTCACTAACCTTTGGAGGCTCCTAAGAACACGAAGAAGACACGTTCTCAGAATTAATAAGGAAGATTACAGGGCATGTTAAGGTGTGGGCCGCTCGTCCTCCCCCGGCCAACTTGGACGGTTCCCTGAAACTCTAGATGAAGCTCAACATGTTCGATCCCGCACACTCAAGGATTGCAATTAGTGCAAGTTTCATACCTTAATATGTGTCTGCAGCAATTTAAAAGCTTAACTAAAGCAAATTGTACAGAAATATAACACAATATCTATAATATATATATATATATATATATATATATATATATATATATATATATATATATATATATATATATATATATATATATATATATATATGAGACAATGATTGAAGCAGAGCGTCCTGGGTTACCCTGGACGCAAGTTCGATCCCCCTGCTCTGCTCCGACGATTTTCTCAAAGTTATATCATGTTAGTGTGATTTCCCTGTATATATATATATATATATATATATATATATATATATATATATATATATATATATATATATATATATATATATATATATATATATATATAAAATGACAGTGTCAGACCACGGAGGAAAATTGAAACAGGAATTTCCTTAAGTACTTTCGTATATTAATACTTCTTCAGAAGGAGTGAATTTTCAATTTCAAGTTTCAGTATATGTGCGAACAAGCCTGAATGGTCCCCAGGCATATATGCAACTGAAAACTCACACCCCAGAAGTGACTCGAACCCATACTGCCAGAAGCACTCTGCAACTGGTGTACAGGACCCCTTAATCACTCGACTATCACGACCGGACAAAAGATGATGGTAGCCGAGGCTAATTTCCCATCATACCGCCAGCACTCTGATGGTAATCTTGGGCATGGGCATGTGTGTATGTGCGTGTGAGTATTCACTTAGATGTGCTTGCGGGGGTTGAGCTCTGCTCTTTCGGCCCGTCTCTCAACTGTTACTAACTGCTAGTTTTTTCCCCTACACCACACACACACCCACCCCAGGAAGCAGCCCGTGACAGCTGACTAACTCCAAGGTACCTATTTACTGCTAGGTAACAGGGGCATAGGGTGAAAAAACTCTGCCTATCGTTTCTCTCCGGCGTCCGGGATCGAACCCGGGACCACAGGATCACGTGTCCAGCGTGCTGTCCGCTCGGCCACCGGCTGAGTGTGTGTGTGTGAAGTTTTAAAGGTTGAAAGGTGTTTAAGTATATTACCTGCCACACACACACAACAACAGCTCTACACAGGGTCATACAGATCACAGATCTGACACAGACATGTTACAAAGCATGTAATCGTTACAAAGCATGTAATTGATTCCTTACTGAAGAAGGAAATAGATTCAGATGGAGGAGAATGTGGGAGACAATGATGGGAAATTCCCAGCTTCGCTACTCGGGGCCTCTTTCCTGGAACCCTTGACCCCGGCCGCGGGTTGGTGGGTATTTCTGGCCCTCACTCTATACGTGGGTTAAACTTAGTACCTCTCCACACATGGGTTAAACTTAGTACCTCTCCACACATGGGTTAAACTTAGTACCTCTCCACACATGGGTTAAACTTAGTACCTCTCCACACATGGGTTAAACTTAGTACCTCTCCACACATGGGTTAAACTTAGTACCACTCCACACATGGGTTAAACTTAGTACCACTCCACACATGGGTTAAACTTAGTACCACTCCACACATGGGTTAAACTTACATGGGCTCCACACATGGGTAAAATCTATACATATATGTGAATAAGTTTGGTTGGATATAGATAAGATCTGCCTTTCATGGGCCAGTGGGAGCTGCCTTTCATGGGCCAGTGGGAGCTGCCTTTCACGGGCCAGTGGGAGCTGCCTTTCATGGGCCAGTGGGAGCTGCCTTTCATGGGCCAGTGGGAGCTGCCTTTCATGGGCCAGTGGGAGCTGCCTTTCATGGGCCAGTGGGAGCTGCCTTTCATGGGCCAGTGGGAGCTGCCTTTCATGGGCCAGTGGGAGCTGCCTTTCATGGGCCAGTGGGAGCTGCCTTTCATGGGCCAGTGGGAGCTGCCTTTCATGGGCCAGTGGGAGCTGCCTTTCACGGGACAGTGGGAGCTGCCTTTCACGGGCCAGTGGGAGCTGCCTTTCACGGGCCAGTGGGAGCTGCCTTTCACGGGCCAGTGGGAGCTGCCTTTCACGGGCCAGTGGGAGCTGCCTTTCATGGGCCAGTGGGAGCTGCCTTTCACGGGCCAGTGGGAGCTGGTTCACGAAAGGCATCTCGCAAGATGTTAAGTCATGCATGTGATCAATAACCTGCTCTGGGAAACTTTGAATGCATTATGAAGATATCCTCAAGAACATGAGTTAATGAATTTATTGCAAAGCTCCAGGTACCTCATGCCAACTGGTCTGAAAGGTCTAATAACTGGGCATTCGGTGATGTTGTGTGGGAGATCATGCCGCAGTTCCTGCTCACAGAGTTTGCACCTGGAGTGCTCAGGATTGGGAGATCCGTCACCTGCCACAGGTAACGGTAACCCAACCTAATCCTGGCAACCACTGTGTCGCACAGTCTGGTCAACGTTTTGTGTTGCCCATAGATATTGGTTTCAGCTCTAAACAAATCATAGCTTTTTATACTAGTACTTTCAGGTCGTTGGGAGTCAGTAACTTCTTTTCTATCAGACCTGAGTGTTTGGACCAATACAATTTTGACAGCAGAGATGGGGATACCTAGATCTAATTCAACTTCCTCTTTGTTACACGCTAATTTGGCTGCAATGTCTGTCTCGTTATGATGGGTTATATTTATGTGTGAAGGTATCTATACAAAGGAGATTAGAGACCCTTTACTCTGTGCATCAATTAGGTCATTTATAATTGGTAGTATGAGGTTCCTGCTGTCGATCTTCCAGGAGAAGTTTTCGATTGCTTGAAGAGCAGACTTTAAATCACAAAATATTATTCCTCCTCCAATGTTTTTTTTAATGTACTTGTAGCTAGGTGTAATGCTGCTAGTTCTGCTTGTGTGGAGGTCAGCCAGTTGTTTAACCTGACACTGACAGACTTTGTGCAGATATTATTTCTATAAAACCTACATGCCGCTGCAGTCCGTCCAGTAGAAGACTGGACTGAGCCGTCGGTGTAGACACAGTGCTCGTGAGATCTTAGACTCTCGATGGAGGAGGCAATTGTTTCAAGAGTGACAGCTTTGAGTAGAGCAAGATTCTCATTATCTTTCTTGGTGACAGGTGTGTATGATACTTGAATGGTGGGTACAGATAAAGAGGAATATCAGAGACAGGTAGATTGCACTTAAAAGGAATGTTAAGTTTAATGAGATTGTAAGCATTGTTACTCAGCCAATTATCATAAAAGGAGTGAGTTGGTATGTCGGCACCAGTCAAAAGGGTGTTAACAGCACTAAATAATTTGTCTCTGAGCAATGCAGGAGATGTAGGATCTCTCATGACTTTAAGACAAAAGGTCGTGTTGACTTCCATTATTCTCTCTAGTATGGTTGGAAGCTTCAGTTCTTCCCTCATGTTGATGATTCTTGTGCATCTTGGAGCACCAAGAATTATCCTCATGACTTCATTCTGTACTACTTCAAGTTTGTCCAACACAGTGGAGGGGAAATTAATTAAGTGCAAAGCATTATAGTCAACGAGAGATCTAACGAACATCATATAGAATAGTCTAGCATATTTAATATTAATACCAATATTCTTACCAGTAAGTGTTTTCAATGGTTTTAGTCTTTCTTTTAACCTACGGTGTAGATCATTTACAATGTCACTGTTAATACCAACTCTAAGGTATTTATGCTGCCTACACGTTTCAATGTTCTGGTTGTTGACCTTGAAAGTTATAGGGACATGAGTTTTTTCTTGTGGATGGAGAACTCTGGATTTAGTTATAGAGATAACAAGACCACATTCAATGCTTTTAACAGCGAGTGAATCAAGTAGAGCTTGCAGTCTAGTTTGGGTATTTGCAACAATGCATATATCATCGGCATAACAGATGACGGCTTCGTCAGGTAGTGTGGGAATATCAATTGGTAATTTGTGCATCAGAACATTGAAGAGTGTAGGACTTAGCACTCCACCCTGGGGTGTGCCAGCCGGT